AAAAAATAAAAAAATAGCGAACGAGCGCCCAGGCCAGTGCCTCACGCTGCCTGGGGCGCAGTTTACAGAAACATCACAACCCCCAACGCCAAGCCCAGTGTGGGGCGCTGTGCTGGGGGGTCAAGTAAGGTGGATTTGTTTTTTAATTTTCGTTTTTTTGTATAATGTTTTAAGTTAATCCGACCCATATAACCCGACCTAACTACCCATACACACACACATAATAACCCATACCCAAACCATTCTCCCAACCAAATTAAATTAACTCTAACCCAAAACCCCCCATCTCTTTCACCGTAACTCTCACAAGCGACCCCCCACTATGTCTCTCTCCTCGCTGCTCTCTCTCCTTCTCTCTCAAATTCTCCAATTTTTGTTGCTCACTTTCATCTCAAGACTCAAAGGTATGTTCTTCTTGTTCTCTCTTTTCTTGTATTTTGAAATTTCTTAGTGTACTTCTAGTCCTTCTTCTCCAACAACCCCGAATCCCCTACCCTATTGTGCACGAAATTAGTTGCCAATATTAGTTGTGAAGTTGTATTTGAAGTAGTAAACTTCAATTCCCTATACGGTTAAGTGAATTTAGTAATGTGAATTTTAGCATTGCTCGCTTGTACTACGGTTAAGTTATGGCCATGTTCGACTACTTAAATTGTGATGAAACATTGGTGCACTTTGAACCACTCTTGTGAGTAGATTATACATAACCTTCAGTTTTAAGTGTGGGGTCATCTTGGCTTCTCACAATGACCTTGGGCGAATTTCTTGATCCATTCTCACAATGACCTTGGGTGAATTTCTTGATCCATTCTCACATTTGTGTTTGTCGTGTGTAGGTTGTTATGGCTCATGATAGTGCCGCAAAAGGCAAAAGGGGTAGGAATGTCCTCCACTACTGGCCCCTCCCAAAAAATTCAAGCAATGTGAGGTATCTTCAAGGCAGGCTAAAGGGAAACAAGTTGCCAAAGGATCACAACATGCACCTTTGCAACCGAGGCATCTTTTGAAACTAGTTAGTGATGCTGCTATTGCATGGCCTAGGGACTTCGTGCCATATGGGCGGTACATCTCCGAAATGGGGATTAATGTGAAAGCTCTAGAAAGAAATTTTCCGGATTTGCTTGCCCTGTTGGTAGAGATGAAGATGGAGAAACTCATAGAATGCCCGAGTCCTGCGAATTTGAACATGGTGTGCGAGCTATACACCAATTGGAATGCGAACTTGTTCCAATCATGTGTCCCAGGGAAGGATATACCACTAGATAGGAGATCCTTCTGTGAATTTTTGGGAGTTGATAACTCGAATCCACGGAGGCTCCAAAAGTTCGTCAAAATCCCACGTTAGCGAGAAATACATCACACTCTTTGTGGCGTTGATTCTAATTCCAAGTGGACATGGACTAAGGGAGATGCACACCTTGAGATGCTCCATTTTGACTTCAACAAGACGACTAAGGTATGGCAAAACTTTGTGCAGGCTATATTGATGCCCGTCGAGCATAACTATGAATGCACTCGAGCTCGAGTGTGTGTGATTTTCTTTCTAATGACTGGGCGACCCATAAATGTGGGTGAGATCATGCTAGGGGAGATGGACCGCACCCGCTTTGGGAAAATGATCAAACGGTTATTCTTTGGCAACCTCCTGACGCAATACATGCTATCCTGTGGGGTACCGGAGTACCCGGGCTATGATGAGGTAGTGGAGGCACCAAAGGCATTGCTAGAAATTGCATCCTTGCTGGAGTCCACATCAAAGCTAATCCAGGTTGTGAGGAATGAGAGGGATGAAAACTTCAACAAGTATCTTTATAGTTCCCTCAATGTGATAATGTGCAGGCTAGGGATCTCAGATGAGGAACGAATGCAGTTGCGCAATGATCTCTCTAGTTCTTCCAAGGAGATGTTGGGCATTGCACCGGGTAGTCCTATTCACCAATCTGGGGATGATAACACATACAAAGGATCCGATGATGAGGATGAGATGGGTGATGAAGTCACGGGGCCCATGGCTTTGGTGCCCCTAGGAGCGGATGATGATGATGAGCCCAGAGCCGCAGCTGGTGGGCACCTTGAGGAGGCGGCCTCCGACTAGCAGGGAGTTCTTTCTTTCCACCTTATTTTGTTTTGAATTTGTTATGCATCAGAGACTATGCATTGTTTAAGTGTAGGGTAGGGGAATACTTCCTGACTTGTAATTGTATAAAGTTTTTATTGTTAGTGTGTTGTTGTTTGTTTAGCTTAGTTTAGAACTCACATAGTCTTTGGACGCTGGTTCTTTTCCAAAGGTGTAGCTCAAACCGGGTGTTTGTTTTATGGAGTAGGATAGGGAGAAAACTGAGGTGCTCTGATGTACCTGTTGACATGTTTGGTGTTGGCACATTAAGCTATGGCATGCGATCTAACTTCCTGAATATTTTATTTAAATTATAATGCCCAAGTAAATTAAGTAGCCTACTCTGTGACGCCTTGTTCTCAGTTGGTTGACTTGTATGCCACCTAGTGCATTATTGCTTAAAAATTCTCAACTCGTTATGCTTGCTTGACTTGAGAGTCGCATAGAACCGTCTTGATTGATTCAAGTGCAATATGTGTGTAAGGGTTGGTGATATTCTGTGCTATCTTGTGTAGTCTAGGATATGACGTAGGCATTTCTTGCTTGACTATAGAGGTGCTTGTCACTCACAAATAAAATTTTCCGTTGCTAGCCCCTTTGAGCCTATAGACCTTTTCTTTGGCACCCACACTACAAGCCGTATTCCTATTTTGTTCTTAATTTGAGCTTGTTGAACCTTTACCTCCTAAGGTACTTAGTCGCTAAAAAAAATAAGGTGAGATATTAGGGAGTGACTTTCGAGTGGAACCATGGAAAGGCCCTTAAGGTGCAGTAAAATTGTGAAAAAAGGCCACTAGCCGATGAACCTTAATGTATGGAGTGTGTGGAGAAAAGAAAAAAACAAAGGGAGAAAGAAAAAAATTGCAAGAAAAAAAATAGTAGTTCAAATAATGTAGAAAAACACACACTTCCTAATCCTTCGAATTCGTACTAGTGGGAATATAGATGTGCTTAATTGAAAAGAGGGCTATATTATATATGGTGTATGACAAGTGAATTGGTTGAAAAGAAGATGTGCTCGATGTTTGAGTGTGGTGTATTAAAGTGCTTAGGAGGGTTTGTCATTATTCCTAAATGTATCCTACCCATCCCTTAGCCTACATTACAACCTTAAAGTCCTAATTGATCCTAGATTTGGCTAGCTTAGATTAGTAAAGATGTACACTACGGGCAATCTTATGGTACAACCATAGGATGCACATGAATTCTTTGTGAGAGTGAGTGGATTTTGTTCAATTGTGTGATGTCCTCAATTTATGTTCAATGGCATATTTGAACGTATGTGCTACTTTTATATTCACTCTTTTGCTTATGGTGAGGGCACTTGGTCTCATGACAGATTGGTGATGTTGTACTTCTTTTGTTGGGTGAGTGCGTGAGTTGAGGATGCTTAGTGGTAACGAGTCGTCTCTTGAGGTAGGGTGGTTGTGGAGAGGTGGCTTGAATTGGTTGAATAGCATTGTGTATACTTGGGCTAGTTGGAAAAGAAAAAACGGGAAGAATGTGAAATTCGTGTGTTCATGCTTAATTGACGGTATCGACCATAGTCAAAAGGTAGAGTGTGTGATGGAATTAAATGTAAATTGCTTTTTCATAGTGGCAGGTACGTTTTGGGGTGTTAATATAGTTCCATTGCTCGAGGAAGAGCAAGAGTCTTAGTGTGGGGTGTTGATAATCAACTTAATGTTGCATATTTTGATGTATATTGCCTCACATTGTACTCATGTCCCATAAATTTCGGATGTATAATATAATGATTTGTGCTAATTTGTGGTATTTCTATGTGTAGGAAACATTCGGATGCGATTTGGGACGAAAGTGCGCGAATTGGAGAGAAAATGGAAAGAAAAGGCGAAATGGCCCAGTTGAGCGCCACAGGCAGCGTAGGGTGCTACCCGTGGCGCACAAAACAGAATGCTGAAAAGTTGAGCGCTAGGGCCAGCGCCCCACACTGCCCTGGATGCTCAAGACGTGAAATTGTCCTATTTCGACTAGGACTTGGTTATTTCGACCCCAAGACGCCCCCAACTCATATAAAAGCCAACCTAAACCTATTTTGAGGGAGAGGACGTGACTTTGAGAGACAAAAGTATGAACACTCGAGAGCACGAATTTGATCAATTCTTTCAATTTTCTTCTAGTATTCATTGATTTTATGTTTTAAAACATTACTTTTGATGATTGTATGAACATGAGTGGATAAGAACCCTATTGTTATGGGGTTATGTGTGCTACATGAATGTTGGCGTTTGAAGTTTAAATTGATGAGTTTGATTTTATCATATTGAGTTTTTTATTTAATTCTGTTTTTAATTATTTTGCTGAGTAGCTAACAGTGAAATACTATCTACGAATCTAGAGTTGAATGATAAGAAAAAAATATCATGTATAAATTTAGTTATTATCTTTAAAGTTTAGTAGTAATATTTTTACTTTCTTTGCATTGAAATAATTAACTAATATAAAAAGAAAAATGATTGACCTTGGAGAAATCTGAACACAAAGAGCTAAAGTTTACAATGAAGATTCATGGTGTTAAAAGAAGAAAGGAAAAAATATGGAAGAGAGGATCACGTATCTTGATTTTAGAATTGGATTTGTAAAAGCATTTGGATTGTATCAATTATGAGGAGAAAAGGGACCCATGTACCTAAGGTCTTTCTTCACTATAAAAATTAAAAAAGAAAGAAAGAATTACTAATAAAAAAGAGAAAAAGCAGCCCATGTGCTACTGCCAACTTGGATAAATTGGCGTGAATTCATCTTTTAAATCTAAAGTAGCTTGCAACTTGCCAAGTTGAAATAACAAGTTGCCAAACATTCAATGCACACTACTCTTGGAAACATCTATAAATAGAAACACAATTAGGTGCTCCAAGACATGAAATGAAGGGGGAGAAAGCTTAGAGCTACGGTTTGAAATTCATTTCTTTCGGGCTTCTTATTTTCTTTCTTCTTCAGTTGTTTCTTCTTTTAGCCATTACACTCACATCATTTCTAATTCCAAATAAATTGTAATGTTGGAATTTACTCTAGTTTTAGTTTTTAATTAAATAGGAAAAATTATTCTCTTGAATATTTCTTTCTATTTTCTTATTTAATGAGCAAGAATATTTACGTTGTCAGTACTAACTCCATTATGGAGTAACTTTTCTTGTGTTGGAAAAATATCGGATCTTAATATTTCTATATAATAGTAGATATTATTCCTCAATTTCACATACTTGAGCTGGAGCTTTTCATTTAAATTTTATCTGCTTTATAGTTAGGTGTTATTTAATTTGTTAACATCTATCTATTTCGTACTATATATTAACTTCTTACTGATTCTGTAATTGAAAGAGGCAGAAGAAGTAATATAGTTAATTTTGGTATTGATAGATGTTAACTTTTGTTTAGTGACATCTAGCTCTTATACGTTAAAATTGTCTCTACACTATTTATAATCGAAAGAGGCGAATATTGTAGTAATTAATTATAACAAGTAGGGTAACCGAAAGGGACTTACTAAAAAGATCATATTTTAGTTCAAGTATATATTTCTGGTTCTTTAATATTACTATTTTAACGATTAATTTATATAACCGAGATGAGTGCAATTAATTGTTCAACTATAGTAATAATATATAAATGTAACCGTGAGAGGCATTTATATATTTATGAGAAATAAAAATAGAAGAATAAATATATCTACTGTATAATAAAATTATTAAGTGAAGTCAGGATCCCAACACCTTTTTATTATATTTCTGAAAATAAAATAAAATATTTTCTATTGCTCTATTCATGAATTTTTAGTTAGTTAATTCACAACTCAACTCTTTGTGATTTTTTCAAATAGTAATTAAAACAAGAAATATCTGTAAAATAGATAAACCAATCTCTGTTGGTTCGACATCTTTCTATAATATTATTTGACAAAGTACGAGTTAGAATTTTATACACGCTAGACAGTCAAATTTTTGGCGTCGTTGCCGGGGAATTGCAACATCTATTTCAGATTAATTATTTTGTTTTTAATTTGAGAACTTATTATTATTATTATATTTATTATTATTATTATTATTATTATTATTATTATTATTATTATTATTAGTATTATTTTTATCTTTTTTTTTTGTTACTACTGTAACTATTGTTACTAGTAATGTCTTTCTAGTTTTCTCTTATTAACAATATTACTACTTACTGTTTTCGTATCATTCTTTATCTTTTTAATTTTTATTTTACTTTACAGTATCATAATATTGTTTCTAGGATCAGCTAGCTCTTTTCATTAAAAACACACACACTTATTTTTTGTTTTTAATTAGTATCACTAGTTATATTAACTACTACTAGTACTATTTTAATTTTTATATACTTTTTTTTATTTTTAGTGTCACCAATACTATTTTAGGAACTAAGTTTGATTTTATTTCAAAGAAAAAATAAAAAAAATCTTTGCTTTAAGGATTTTAGGTAGTTTATGGTCCGCTCTTCTATAAAAGAGTTGGCGAATTACGACCCAGAAATTGAAAAATCTCTTCGATTGCGCAGGAAAGGACAAACATCATCTTCTCAAAGTATAGCTTGTGAAGAAATGGAGAATGAAGAGCTTAACAATAACCAACTTCCACCATATCAAGTGGAAGAACATTTCGATGAGGTGGCTCCACGATGTGACAGAATACTCAGAGATTATGCAAGACCGAATTATTTTGAAGGAGAATCAAGTGTGAAGAGACCACCAATTATAGCAAACAACTTTAAAATTTGCACAGGCTTGATTCAAACTATTCAAAAGTCATGTCAATTTACTGGTAATGCGAGTGAAGATCCTCATACCCATCTAATTGATTTTCTTGAATTAGTTGAAACATACAGGTATAATGGAGTCACAACAGACGCTATCAGATTGCGGCCTTTTCCTTTTTCATTAAAAGGTGAAGCAAAAATATGGTTGCGAAGTCTGCCAAGAGGTTCAATCACTACACGGGATCAAATGACTCAGAAATTTCTTAATAAATATTTTCACATGCAAAAACATTTAAAATGAAGCAAGAAATCAATTATTTTGTACAGACAGATGCCGAATCTGTATACCAAGCATGGGAACGATTAAAAGTAATGTTAAGAAAATGCCCACACCATGGTATTCAAGATCTTGATATCTTATATATTTTTTTATTATGGTCTTAAACCCTCTGCTAGAAATGTAATTGATGCAGCATTAGGAGGATCCATAATGAGCAAAACCACTAAAGAAGCCATGCAATTGCTCAATAAAATTTCAGAAAATGCTGTGCAATGGCCCTCAGACAGAATGATTGTTAATAAAGCAGCATGAGTTAATCAAGTTGAAGCTTGGAATTCATTAGCGCAACAAATTGCAACTCTGACACAAAAAGTTGAGGCCTTTCAGGTAAATACTCAATCATCATCTCAACATGAGAATTGTGACGTTTGTGGAGGTAATCATCCCAATCACGAGTGTCAAGCTTCAACACAACATGAAAAACAAGTAAATGTTATTGGTTATAGAACCAGTTACCCATTCGGTAGTCCCATGGCACGAAAACATCCGAGTAGCCCAAATGGTGCTGAAAATCCTCAAAGTTTTTTCAATCAAAAGCAGCAGGTGCAGGGACCCCCTGGTTTTCAAAATCAAAATAGAGGGCAACAAGATTTTCAACAATATCAACAATAGTCCCATAGAGCTCATCAGCAAAGCCTTGAAGACATGATGTACAAATTCATTAAGGCTATTGACGAGAAGGTTGGAAGTCAAAATTCAACCATCAAGAATTTGGAAATCCAGATGAGCCAATTATCAACCCTCATGTCTAGACAAATAAAATGTGATCTACCAAGTAACACCGAGAAAAATTCAAAGGAACACCTCAAATCCATCTCTCTGCGGTCAGTTAAAACTCTTGATGATCCATATGCAGATAGACAAGGAAAGCCACAAGAAGTGGAACAGGTAAATGAAGGTGATAATAAAAGAGACTCTGAACTTTTAAAAGAACAAAAAGATAAAAGAAACAAGGTACAAAAAAATGAATTGATACAAATCCTCACTCTGTACCCCTCCCTTTTCCCCAAAAGCTAAACAGAGAAAAGCTTGACAAACAATTCTCAAAGTTTTTAGAAATTTTAAAACAGCTTTACATTAACATACCTTTTACAAATACTTTGAAGCAAATGCTGTCATATGCTAAATTTCTTAAAGAAATTTTGTCAAGTAAAAGAAAATTGGAAGAAGTTTTAGTGGTTAAGCTTATAGAAAAATATAGTGCTATACTTCAAAATAAGCTTCCACAAAAACTTGGTGATCCACGCAGTTTTACAATTCCTTGTACTTTGGGAGGTGCTCATTTTGAAAAAGCATTATGTGATTCAGGTGCTTCAATAAATCTAATGCCTTTTTCAATTTTCAGGAAATTAGAACTTGGTGAAATGAAGGACACTGGTGTGTCTCTGTAATTGGCTGATCAAAGTACTAAAAAACTGAAAGGAATACTAGAAAATATCCTCATTAGAGTTGATAAGTTTATATTCCCAGTAGATTTTGTCGTACTTAAAATGGAAGAAAATACTGAGGTACCATTGATTTTAGGTAGACCATTTCTTGCAACAGGAAGAGCAATAATTAATGTCCATTAAGGACAACTAATTTTGCGAGTTGATGGGGAAAGAGTAATTTTTGATATGCAGAAAATAATGAAATATTCTGAAGATGAGTCATCCTCATCTTGTTTTCTAATTGATTTGTTGAATGACATTGCAGATGAATATAAAGATGATCATTTGATTACTGATTCATTGAAAAGATGTTTGGCAAAGTCAGGTACCACAAGTGATGATGACACTACAATCAGAAAAGAAGCAGAAATGCTGGAAAAAGATTCAGAAAATGACAAAGTCTCACAAGAAGAAGTTCAACCAAAAATTAAACTCAAAACTCTTCCTTATCGTTTGAAATATATTTTTTCTTAAACCTGAATTATTTCCAGTAATCATTTCATCCTCTTTGAATGCAGAACAAGAAAGAAAACTGATTGTGGTATTGAGAGAAGTAGTGAAACTTCTAGCGGCGGGTATCATTTATCCGATATCTAACAGTCCTTGGGTAAGTCCGGTGCAGGTAGTACCAAAGAAAGGAGGTATGACAACGATAAAAAATGAAGATAACGAACTCATACCTACCAGAATAGCCACAAGGTGGAGAGTTTGTATTGGCTATAGATGACTTAATGAGGCTACAAGAAAAGATCATTTTCCTTTACATTTTATTGACCAAATTCTTGAAAGAGTTACAGGTCATGGTTTTACTGTTTTCTTGACGGATATACAGGGTATAATCAGATACCAATTACTCTAGATGTAACGACCCGATCGGTCATTTTAAGCTCTAGCACGTCATTCGGTGGTTTGAGGCCTTGGGTAGCTTCACTTCAGGTATTATTACTTGTACGTGTGGTCAGAATTGAATTTCGGGAAGTTCGGAGTTGATTTGGAATGAAAATTCTCATTCCGGAAGATTTAAGTTGGAAGAGTTGACTAAAGTTTAACTTTTGAGTAAACGACCTTGGAATCGGGATTTGAAAGTTTCAATAGGTTCGTATGATGATTTCGGACTTGGGCGTATGTCCGGATCGGGTTTTGGGTAACCCGAGAGCATTTAAGTGCTTATTATGGAAAGTTGGCATTTTGGAAGAATTTCATAAATTTGGGTTGAAATATATTTTGATGTTATCGATGTCCGTTTGGGATTCCGAGCCTGAGAATAGTTCAGTATAGTGATTTTGGTCTTAGGAGCATTTCCAGACGTTGATTTGGAAATCCGTAGGTCGATTCGGCGTCAATTGGCGAAAGTTAGAAATTGGATGAATTTTGGAATAATTTGACCGGGAGTGGACTTTTTGATATCTAGGTCGGATTCCGATTCCGGAAGTGGGAGTAGGTCCGTTATGTCAATTATGACTTATGCGCTAAATTTGAGGTCAATCAAACTTGATTTGATAGGTTTCGGCGTCGAATGTAGAAACTTGAAGTTCTAAAATTCACTAAGCTTGAATTGGGGTGCGATTCATGGTTTTAGCATTGTTTGATGTGATTTGAGGCCTCGAGAAGGTTCGTGTTATGTTTTGGGACTTGTTGGTGTGATTGGATGGGGTCCCGGGGGCCTTAGATGTGATTTGGAGTGGTTTTAGACCAATTCTAGCTGTTTTGGTTGTTGCTGAGCCCTAGCGCATCGTTGGGCAGTTTCAGGCCTTGGGTAGCTTCGCTTCAGGTATTATGACTTGTACGTGTGGTCGGAATTGAATTTCGGGAAGTTCAGAGTTGATTTGGAAAGAAAATTCTCATTTCAAAAGCTTTAAGTTGGAAGCAATAACTAAGGTTTGACTTTTGAGTAAACGACCTCGGAATCAGGATTTGAAAGTTCCAATAGGTTTGTATGATAATTTTGGACTTGGGCGTATGTCCGAATCGGGTTTTGGTTGACCCGGGAGCATTTCGGTACTTATTATGGAAAGTTGGCATTCTGGAAGAATTTTATAAATTTAGGTTGAAGTGTATTTTGATGTTATTGATGTCTGTTTGGGATTCCGAGCCTGTGAATAGTTCCGTATGGTGATTTTGGTCTTAGGAGCGTGTCCGGACGTTGATTTGGAAGTCCGTAGGTCGATTCGGTGTCAATTGGCGAAAGTTGAAAATTGGATGATTTTTGGAAAAATTTGATCGGGAGTGGACTTTTTTATATCTAGGTCGGATTCCGATTACGGAAGTGGGAGTAGGTCCATTATGTCAATTATGACTTGTATGCTAAATTTGAGGTCAATCAGACTTTATTTGATAGGTTTCGGCGTCGAATGTATAAGCTTGAAATTCTAAAGTTCACTAAGCTTGAATTGGGGTGCGATTCATGGTTTTAGCGTTGTTTGATGTGATTTGAGGTCTCGAGCAGGTTTGTGTTATGTTTTGGGACATGTTGGTATGATTGGACGGGGTCCCATGGGCCTCGGGTGTGATTCGGCGTGGTTTCGGATCAATTCTGGCTATTTTGGCTGTTGCTGGTTCTGGTTTTGTCCTTCGCGAAAGCGAAGGGAGTCCCGCGTTCGCGAAGAAGGGTTTTTGGGTGGTTGATTTTTGTTCATCGCGAACGCGACACAGGGGTCGCGAACGCGGAGAAGGGCCTGAGGAACCTATGCGAACGCGAAGGGGAGATCGCGAACGCTTAGAAGGAAAGGGGGAGCTGGGCATGGAGCAGGTTGGCCTTCGCGAACGTGGTTCATGGACAACGAACGCGAAGGGGCAGGGGTCTGAGGGTTCGCGAACGTGGCGTAGGTGACGCGAACGCAAAGAGGAATTATGAGGCAGTGGCATTTGGCCTTCGCGAACGCGAGGCGTTTCACACGAACACGAAGAAGGGTCGCCTCGGCAGTGTATAAGTTTGCCAAAACGGGTTTTGGCTCATTTTATTTCAATATTCTATGGGAGCCGAGCTAGGGGCTTTTTTGGAGGAGCTTCTTCGTCACCCATCACAAGTTTTGGAGCGGCGGGCGCCGGTTTGAGTTGTTAGAAAAACTTTGGAGTCGGTTATGGAACTTCAGAGCGAGATAAGTCTCTTTTCTAACCTTGTAAGATGGAATTAACCCCATAGATGAATTGATTTAATATGTGCTTCTATTTGTGGGGGCTGCGTACATACGAGGTGATGAGAGTCCGTACGTAGCTACTAATTATGCTTATGTACGGGTAGTCTAGGACCCAAATCATGTTATACTTGCGATGTTTGCACCCTACTTGTTAATTTGATCACTTAGATCATATTGGAACTTGATAAAGGAATTGTAAAAGGTTAAATTTCATTTACTTGAGTTTTGGACGGTCACTTGACTGTTAATGAGAATTGGTGTTTCTTTGAATATTAGCCTCTTAATAATCTTGAATCTGTTGTTTATAAAGTATTTTCTCTTCCCCTGGAGCAGGCCGAACGTTTTGGTAGCAGATAGATACATATACGGTTCGTGCCGTTCGACCCTCGGCAGTGCACAGTTTATATATTTGTATGTTGGATCGGGTCGTACGACCTCTGCATAATTCGTGCGTAATAATTCTTGGATTCCAATTATAATTGATATTGTTTCATTGGCTTGAGAGATTAATTTGTTAAATGATGAAAATTAATTTGGGATTTACTATCAGTGAAAGAATTATTTATTTATTTCTTGTTATTGAGTTTTCAGATGTATTTACATAATCCATGCTTAATTATAATTTTAGTATTTTATTGTTAGCCCATAGTAAACGTCAAAGCTGACCCCTCATCACTATTTCTTCGAGATTAAACTAGATACTTACTGGGTACACGTGTTTTATGTACTCATGCTACACTTGCTGCACATTTTATGCAGGTACATATATGTCTAGTGGTCATATGGGTGCAGAGGCGCGCTATTGCGGGGACTTAGGTGAGTTGCATCCCATGTTACGAGTCCGCATCACACAGAGTCTCCACCAGAGTTATTTACATTCTCTTATCTAATTTGTATTCCAGACAGATGTTGTATTTTATCATATTTCTTAGTTGATGCTCATGCACTTATGACACCGGATTTTGGGGGTTCCTATTGGATGTTTAGTATGGTAGTTCACGTAATTATCATCGTTTCACCCTGTAAATTCCATTTCATACTATTTAATTAATGGAAAGTATGATTTCAAAAGGAATAAAAATGAGTAATTAAGTGGATCAATCATCGTTGACTTGCCTGACAGCGGCGTTAGGTGCCATCACGACCTATAGTGGATTTTGGGTCATGCCAGCTTGGTATCGGAGCATTAGGTTCACTTGGGTCTCACGAATTATGAGAAAGTCTAGTAGAGTCTTGCGGATTGGTACGAAGACGTATGTACTTATCTTCGAGAGGCTACAGGGCTGTTAGGAGCACTTCCCTTCTTGATTCCTCATTGTGCGATTTGATTCCTTCGAGGCTTATGCCTTATTTCCTTCCTATTCATTCTTGTACGGTGTTGAGCACTCGTGTCAATTGGGTATCGAGGAGTTGCAGTGGTACTACAGACGTGGAGCAGGATGTTTCTCCCTGCGCATTCGAGCAAGTTATTATCGTCTTCTTGCGGAAGGATGTTCTGTCATTTCAGCTCAACAGTTGTATTTTCAATGGGATCGAGGCTACGCACAAATTGCTATGATGTTCAGACGTTGTTATCGCACAATGTTGGTATAATGGTGGTGGTGTTTGTTTATGTGTCGAGGTAGTGAATGACTTGAAATGAGGATTTCTCAGCACATGATTTAGAGGTACACCGTTTATCTCCAGCAAAGGAAAGGCAATCGAACTATGAATGTTCAGGTTTGGGTTGATGGAGTAACGAGACTTGGTATTTTCAAGCGCAGTGGAATTTTCATCTGTGATGTGGTGTCATTGTCCTTATTTGAATGTATTAAGTTCACCGGTGTTATGGTATTCTTCAATTCGCCTTCAGGGCAGGGTATTGTGAAAGGACACTGGGGAAGCGGTCGTCAGATATAGCATGCGCAGCGGTTCAGAATCGAATCGGTATTTCTAATGTGATGACTCGAGAAGGATGATCTTCTAGGAGGTTTAGAGTTGGTAGCAATTCACTAGTTCCGGTGCTACAATTATGGACTTGATTTAAGGCAACATTTGGGCAACGAAGAATGAGAAAGGACATGGCGAGATGTGTCTCGCGGTGGTTGAATTACTAGCAGGTCAAGTATGAAAAGCAGAGGTCGAGCAGTTATTTAAAGAATATGGTTTAGCTGAAGTAGGAGTGATAGAGTAGCGTATGGATTTTGTGGTAGGATAGCCACATGACTTGAGAAAAGTTTAGAGTGATTTGGGATTCATGGTGGACAGTGACTAGGTCTACATACCTAATTTGGAATGCTGGCTACTATACTGAGGAATATTGGATACGACAAAAATAAGTTTGCTTGATATGAAGGGGAATGCAACAAGACTTCGGATTGTAATGTATTGTCGCACTTTTAGTTGATGTCAATGGGGGGTGAACGGACTTGTACAACTGGTAAACGAGTACGGGCTCAAGAGAGTTTGCTGATTTCGTAGTAATTGTACTTAGTGCAACATCGTTGGAAGATATCGGCATGGAATTTCCACATTTTGGTTATCTCTTGTGAGCATGTTAGCGGTTGCGTGGTGTTGATGAAACTTCTACGAAGAATTTTACTGGCTATCCGGTAAGAAGTCAAATATTTGAATGTGGGTAGGGATTCAGAATTTTCATGAAATATTTAACAGAAAGATTTCGAGAAATTTGGCGGCTTGATTGTGCGAGATCATAGTAATTGGTAAGGAGGAATCTTGGTGGGTTCCAGAGTTATGAAATTGTAGCTTCAAGCTAAGTGGAGGAGCCCCACTGTCTATGGTTGGATC